GTCAGAAAAAAAAAGAAAAAAAAGAAACCGCTGCAGATATATCACAACCCTCCGTACGCGTTCCTCCCCAGTCAAAGTAGTACCTATTCCTCTGAGAAATCCAGTCCCGGAAAAATAAAAAGCAGGTTGTCACGACCTGCCAAGAAACAAAGAAAGAGAGACGGGGAAGTTCTAGCTGGTCCATATGCGCTCAAACAAAAAAGAAGAAAAAGGCAATAAAAATTGAAATCGAAAAAAGAAGCTAATATCAGAACCAAGGTGGGGTGTAAAATAAACAATAAAATGCAATGAAAAAAAAGCCAATAAACAAAGATCAACACCGCCTCCAAGCCCCATTTCCTGCCATCCATATCAAATGCACCAAACCGAAAAGAAAGAAAAATCTCAGCCAAATAAGCCCTCCCATCACCTCTCCCTTAATTCCTGGTGCTGTTTCGTATGTTACCCTCCAGCTCCAGGTGAGGTTTCAACCATTTCCAAGCTAGCGGTCTACTTCGATGTCATTTCATCTTATTGCGTGTGCTGCCCATGATACACAGGAGCACCCACAGGTGGGGGATAAGTTGGCCCTCCACTGCTGCTCCCTTCACCGGCGCTGCTATTGTAGTACGGGTTCTGGCTCTGCATCTGGTTCGCGGGATGTTGAGAGGGATCGACTTTTGATGCGCCGATTGGTGGACCGCCGGTGTAGACCGGGGGCTGGGCGTAGTTGGGGTTGTAAGCTGCACGCAAGCAAGCAACATTAGTTAGCGTCACCTTATATCAACCACACATTCAACCATAACCACTACAAGTTGAAGTTGGACCACAATATCAACTACCCCTCTAATCTCAACCCCACGCAAATCATACCTGGTGGCGGAACAGTGTGCATGGAGTAGTCGGTCTCTTGTTGCCGCTGATGCTGCTGCTGGTGCTGGTAAAAGCTGAACTGCTGCTCTGGCTGCTGGAGTTGTGGCTCCCATTGTGCTCTGCGGTGACGGGCTACTAGCCACTATTAACAATATAGGCGTCAGTATTGCTCATGCGAACCCACGCACGAACTGGATATGGGAGAAACGTACTCTGTGGTATGGCAGTGGTGCGTTCCCAGCTTTCATCCTCCGGTCCGCGTGGAGCCACATCCCCATGATTATCAGGAAGGCGAGGATCAGTATACCAAACAAAACGCCGTATTTGATATTCCGTGCCTCCTATAGGTACGAATGTATACACTATGATCAGTATACTGTGTATCAATGAGAGAGGAGAAAAAGCGTACGTCGCTCCAGTACCAGTTACTACCAGGCCAATTATCGCCGTCATCCCATTCATCGGCACGCTTTGAGAATTTTGATCGTGGTGGAATGGGTATAATGGTCATCTCGAAATATATTGGGATAAGCGGACAAATCGAAGCGAAACGAGGGACTTAAAGGAGGAGAAGAAAGAAGAAAAGAAAAATCACTAAAGTCGAGAAAAAAAAAATAATGAACGATAGTAAATGTTAAAGGAGAAGAGGTACGGTGAGTGATCGGATATCGATTCGATTGTAAACTAGTTTAGAAAAAGGGAAAAAGGGAAGGGAAAAAAAGAAAAGAAATACAACACAATGACAAAGATGCCAGAAACAACGAACAAGAAAACGATGTCAGCTTAAGTTGCCCTGATGCAATTCTGCAGCACGCATACAAAGTCTAGGTATGTATTTTTTGAGGCACGAACAACTGGTTTTGAAGACGTGGGAGTGCCCTCGGCAATTAGGAAAAACGGGTTGTGGCTTGGGAGGTAGAGTAGCTTGGGCATCTCTTGGAACTTATTTAAAGATCATGGCAATCTGGGAGTCCCTGACTTGGTACCTAGCTCGAGTAGGTAGAGTACAGGGGGTTTTGCTTTCCTTGACGAAATTCTTGGGAGTCTCTATACCGCCGGATCACTAACTTGGGAAAATCTGGGCCAATCGAAAAGCGAAAGGGGACGTGGGGATTCTCTTGAGAACAGTTACATCACAGGTAAAGTACCCTACATGTACCTGCTAGTCTACATGTAAGTAATGAAGAGCAACATGTAGTTATGAGGGTTCATAACCAGCTAACTACATGTACGGCACCGTACACAAATATGCCCCTATCTACATGTAGGCTTAATGCCAAGACTTAAAAACCTGGAAATACCTAATCGGCCACGCGTCTCAGCCTCCTTCTCATATCGATCGAGCAACAGCAGGTTTGTAACAGGTGTAGATATTACACGCCTATAGCCAAGAAGTTGGCATTTGTATCTATCTGCGCGCGCCTGTATGTAAATTACATACATAACTGTCTCAACAGTAATGTTGCGATAATCGGCATCCGGAAACATCACTAATTAGTACATGTACGTAGAGTACTCTACTCTACATAGCTGTAACCCAAGGGAAACTCGTCTCACGCGGAAGGGTGCGTTTCGCATGTTGCGGCTGTTTCGGAGTTGTAAGACTACTCGTACCTATGCCTTGGGTGCAACGTCCCGAAATCCGAGAACGGGAATCGGTGAGCCCTTCGGTCTGTTGTATCGATAGCAACAGGATCGTAGCTAACTCAATTGATCAAGCGGGGTTTGCGCACCGGGAGTTTGGCACCGGGGATGCTGTGTGACAAGTCTGCATAGAATAGTACATACATGTAGGCTCGTACTTACTCTAGTACTCTCTCTAGAGTACATGAACCTGTTGCGGGGGTTATCGCGGTATTCAGAGATCTAAGATACAACCCTTTGGTGTCCGGATCCCCTGCCACACAAAACTGACGAAGGTTGAATGAGGAATAGTGGGGCGGATCGCCACAAGGCACGAGTGACTGATCATGATAGAACGGTCGACGCCCCCAATTAACAACGGATTCATCCATTTATTCACGGTCTAAACAACTAATTGGCTTTATGATACTAGAAATATAGTCATGATACATTGGGACTAGTACCGTGCACGCTCGTTTGTATGGGATTGCTAAGCCTGCCCAAAGTTAAAGGTTTGGCTCATTAAATTGATGCAGTTGAAAAATCCGAACCTCCCAATGACCTAGCGGTATTGAGGTACGGTTTCCCAGCTAGTCACAAACACTGACTATTGAAATTGGCCAATCGGATAGCCCATAATGGGTCAATTGATAATAGTTAGTAATAGAAGGATTACAGTACGTTGTAACCGGCTTCTAATATATGCCTCTTCTCAAGTATGTACATATATTGATCATCAACATCTGGCCATGGGTGAACATGAGTGGCCGGGTATCCGGGTACGGTGAGCGATACTGGAGGCGTCTATAAAAGAACTTATTATATTAATAATATGGGATATTACAAGTTTTGTAATTGTGTAAATGTACGCAACGGGCTATATGGAACGCTTAGGTCTGTTTTTTCTTTCTTTTCTTTTTTACAAATCCTTGAGGTTTTGTGGTCTCCTCCTCATGATGTTTACTAGCGGTGCTATTTAATCTGTCCCATTACTATAAACTCAAATTTGGGGCATCACTTGGGGGAAGCTACATAGCCCAAACTACATGTAGCCTAAGCAGTACCAAGGATTCGGGATTTGATTAGTCTCGTGCCCAGCCTGTGTTTGCTTTTGTTGCACGCAGTGCGACAACAAAACAGTCTGGGAACGAAGCTATGGTGACTAATGGAAGCATGTGCATGTAGCTTAGGAAAGTGCTACATGTTACGATGTACTAGTATATATATAGCTTCAATGTTTATAACTTTATTCAGCGAGGGACTAGGGGCCACGCTTTCTCTTCTAGCTCTTCTCCTCGATCGCGAGCTCATGATCACGAATAGAATCATCTAATTACATGTATGTAATACAAGTCCGGTAGCTAATATGGTATAGATACATGTATAGCTACATGTAGTGAATATACATGTAACGGTAACATAATTTCCGATTAACTAGTTTGATAAACAATAAAAGATTTGACCTTGTGGATGATACCAAATGTGGAGATATATGTATCGAATTAAGTCGATTTAGGATTTGTGTATATATGTTCCGTCCCAGTCGATGTCGCAAATATTACATGTAGTGATTATTGGCCAATGGGCTATCATTGGTGGGTGACCTCTTATATTTTTCATTTACAGGACAGTTTTCTATATCAATCCCACACATCCCGGTAGAAATTTACCAACCAGACAGAAGATCAGTGACTGTTTATCAAGTCCCAGGAAACATTAATTAATAACCAATATTTGCTGACAGACGGCAAGTTAAACAATTGGCCAACCGGTTGGCCAATGTGATACTCGTGACTGGGACGGAACATACAGTATCAGAAATAGGATGAATCTGATATCGCATTAGTACAGCATTGCGCGAGAATGCCGTTTTATCCCCGTGCTTTAACGAAGTATGCGGTAGTGTTATATACCATAGTTCTATGGCATTGCCAAATACTATAGTAGTAGTCCCACCCACATTTCTGTTACTGTATGTATATGTATTTCCTGAGAGATGGCACTACATGGTGTCAGACTTCGAGGACAGACAAGAACAGAAGTGAACGAGAACGAAGCACCTTGAATATATTTTGAGCCTCGCCTCGGGCGCTCCATGTACTACTCTGACGTAAATGCGCCCAATTGTATGTAGCTTTAGTTTTGTTTTAATTCAAACTACGGGGGATACGAGTGATGCTCTGTGACTGGATTTACTGTGATGGCAATCTTGCTCGCACATCATGGGAAATCACTCGTTAACAAATCATAGTCCGTAAAATCATAACAAGATTTCTGGGTCATATATATCCCCTCGCTTTGCTATTTCTTATGTGCGACATATATTTCTTATGAGGAAGCCGTTCTATCCTCGATATTTTATATGTAGTTAGCTGCCAAGACTTTCCTCCTATCGGTATATGACGAAAAAGTATTTAGTGTTTTAATATATACTTGGGGGGAGCAGGTTGATACTAGCTCTGTAGATCTTTCGTACTTTTTTAAAGGTTGAAGGCAAGTATATAACTAATTGAAATTGAAAGTGATTACAGAAAGTTGCCTGAAGAAAACCGATCTCCAAACTGTGCAGCTCTTTGCAACATTTCCTTCTTTTGCTGATGCCCAACCTTGCGGCCTCCAGCGATATCCTTCTCACGATCGAAGGCTCGAGCGCTTGGATTATCCTCTTTCTCACGTATACTCCCCGATGATTTGTGTTGATCGTATAGAGACCTATTCCGGTTTTTTTCCTAAAATATTATAAGGATTCGTTAGGTGCAAGATATAGATCTAGAGCACTCACATTATACTCTTTGATTCTACGGGCAGTTTCTTCAGCCTCAGCAGCGCTGATACTTGGCTTCTTTGTATTATCTCCCTGGGTTGCAGGCTTTCTAATCCCCATGACCTCGTCATTGAGTCGTTTACGGCGTTCTTCTGGCGATTCTGTCCATAAAGAATTATCTCTACCAGCTTTTTGGGGCGCTTTAGCTCCTTTCCCGCTCTGAAACTTTCGATTTTTTAATTTTGTTGGGTCAACCTTTGATGCCCAATCCTCTGACTTCGGTGGTACCAACATCCACTCGTCGCGCTTCGGCTTAGAATCGTCCGCTTTGGTAGCTTGGGCCTCTGCGAACATTGCTAAACGCCGTTGCGCCGCGAGTTCTTGATCTACCTTATATAAGTTAGCTCGAAATTACATGAGACAGAAAGAAATTATTTACCTCCGTACCAGCGCCTGGTGGTAGAGCCGGTCCTATATCGTCGTCACTACTGCTATCATTATTATCATCATCGTCGGGATATCCAGAGGATCGTTCATTGAGGGGTGCTGGAGGTGGCGCTGGACCAACTGTCCGCCTTTTCTTGCTATCTGGGTCCTCCGTTGGTGGTGATTTTGAAGCGGCAGCAGCAGCAGCAGCAGCTTCCTCAGCCTTCCGTTTTCGCTTGGCAAGAATATGGGGTGGAATTGCAGGGCCGACAAGATCTCCTTCCATTGTTGATGGTAGTTGTTGTTTGGGCAGCTTATGTTGTTGGTATTAAAGCTTGGTCGCTAGAGCTCGTAGAAAGAAGAGTCCACAACACAACACAATTGCTAGGGCTGGTATATATGTTAGCCTATCATAGGTATATCTCAGAACAATGGCAACGTCGCACAGCTGCAGTGCGGTTTCAAAGTTGCTTGGAACTTCGCACAACTGTTCATAGGGCCATCACACGGTTATTTACCTAGGAGGACTTGCTCTTTGGATTTCAAGATAGCTACAACCTTGAACTCACTCACGCTGGACTGGTATTATTTTATCGGCATCTGCGACAGTAACAGTAGGGGAAGCCTTCAGCCTCCTCAGGATTGAAGCTTTGGGTTTGAGAAATGAGAATTGAGCATAGGCCCCACCGATGAGCTTGAGACCAGATGAGAGCTCAGAGCTCGCAAATGATAATCATGCAGGAAGTAATCAGAACCTACAGACCGAAACTGCAGAAACAGTACAAGAGCACGAGGATTGGCATACAATGGGAATGAATGGGAATAAGGACACAGGCGGGGATGTAGGAGAGCGGGGAGAGGGGAAAGAGGAAGCGTCGATCGGGACAGCAGCAACGACATCAAGGGTGCTGGAATATTTGCAAGAAGCAAGGAAGGAAAGTGGAGGATTAGAATCAGCGAATGTCTCTGTATTCCACTCATACAAGAATTCTGATGGGGAAGAGATAGAACAAGAGGGTTCACATACCGATTCCCAAGATTCACATTTGCCTCACGCAACAAATGGACGAAATAGTCCTGCCCCGTCTTTCTCTAACCCTGACGATACACCTTCGGTACATGTGAGTTCTTTTAGGATTTTATTACTTGTTTACATGTATTTCTGACTTTCACGATCTCAGGGTTCTGTGGCATCTTCACGCACCAGTAGTGCATTTGGATCCAGATTCTCACCCTCACCCTCACTACGACCGTTTGATAGGAGATTTCAATCTCGCTTGCAACCTGGGACTCCGACGTTGTCTCAATCACCTCGTGCTCTTTCACCAGCTCTTCTTAGTCCACATTCGAGATCCTCTTCATCGGGTAGCCAAGCAGAGAATATTACTTTTGGAGCATTGGATGAAGGATCAGCACCATGGGATGTTGTTCGGTGGACTAAGCTCAAAAAGATCAAGAATCAACTCTTTTCAGAAGCCGGAAAACGTAGTTTTGGTACCCCCACATGTATTACCGTTTCTGCAACTATTGCTGTAGGAACTTCTAAGGGTAGCATTTTAATTTTCGACTATAATCAAACTCTTCAATCTATAATAGGGCCTGGAACGCAAGGTACGATTTCTCCTCAATGTAATAAACAAGACAAACCTGATAGAAGTAGCTGTCGAATGTGGTCCTATAACTGGCATGGCTATCTCTGCGGATCATACCACGATTGCAGGAGGCCATTCTTCTGGACATATTTTCACTTGGGAACTATCTAAACCTAGTCAACCATTCCTACAGATCCCTCCACTGCCATTATCCCAACTTGAAAATCGAAAAGCAGATGGTCATGTCGAAGGTGTCTCAGTGCTCCATCTTGGATTTCTCGGGACACGACACACGGCTTTAGTTTCTGGGGATGATAGAGGAATGGGGTTTTCACATTTGGCTACTAGGGGGTTAGGGATAGTCAGAAGGGTGGTGAAAACAACTAGGATTTTGGGGCGATATCCCCTGGATATTGCACCCACCGGGCGTCCTCGAAAGCCTAGTTCAGTCCTTGGGTTTTCCGCCCTACCCTTAGGAAACTCTCCACAAAAAACAGACACAATGGGGCTTGTGGCCTTATTAACACCCTATCTTCTCGTCGTGGTTTCTACAACGCCCATTGCTCAAACGCAACACAAAGCTGCAAGACCGAAGGAGGTTGCGGCCGATTCTGCTCTTTCAGGCTGCCTAGCCTGGTATCCTTTCACGAAACTAAAACAGGCTGCCATAGCTCCGGATGCAACACACCCATCGTCGAATGCACGATTAGTATATAGCTGGTCGAATGTTTTGACATTATTGGAGCTCTCAATTGTTGAGTCCGAGGAAAAGGAGGATCCAAATCGTCCCCCTGTTTTAGAATTCCGACCTAAAAGTCGATTTCGGTGTGACGAAGCTATTGTAGCCGTACAGTGGATTAATCGCCAGGTTTGCGTTCTCAATATGTAAAGATTTGGGTTGCCCTTCTAACTTGAATCTAGATAATCGCTGTCTTGACAGTTACGCAACGATTAATAATACTGGAAGATATTGCATTGCGGGTTACAGAAACATTTGATTTGATGCCCAAGCAAATTCTTCATCTAGATGCTTTCTCCACACAACTCGGGCCTTTAGTTGACCGAATGGACGATGAAAGCTCGATGCATCCACACGTAGCAGACGCCTTCTATAATAGTTTCAAAACCTATAAAGGGAGAATGTTTCTTCTGGTACGTCTCTTCCAACCTTTTACCTGCCAAAGCTAACCCAAATTCAGGGTCAGTACGATTTGTTTGTTGGTGCGCTTTCTAACTGGGCTGATCGACTTCTTGCAATGATGGAGGTCGGAGACTTTATCGGCGCTATTCGTCTTGCTACAACATACTATATTGGAGAAACTACAAAGTTGACGATTGGTTTGCCCGAGGATTCTGGCTTGCGCCACCCAATAGTGCGAGAAAGGCTTTTGGAGATGATGTCTGCTTCTTTGCGATATGCTTTTGGCAAAAACCGAAAGTCATCGCAAACCGAGCCTTTAGGGAATGATCAATTACAGGACCTTGCTACTGTTTGCTTTGATGCTTGTTTGGCAATGGGTGCTACAGACTTTTTGTTTGAAGAGGCCTTTGACCATTTCGAACAAGGCTCTGTTCAGGGCATTTTCCTTGAAACGCTCGAACCACACATTCTAGAAGGTCGAATCCGGTCTGTCCCTCCGACAGTTGTTAAGGCGCTTATCAAACACTACACATCCCTCGAACTGGATAGTCGATTAGAAGAAATTATTTGTCACATGGACACAAGGACACTAGACATTGACCAGGTCACAACCCTTTGCAAAAGACATAATCTCTATGATGCAATGATTTATGTCTGGAATCGGGCTCTCGGCGATTACATTACTCCTATGATAGATCTTCTCTCTCTGTTAGCACCATTACTAAGGAACGGCGTGGACGAAAACGAGGATTCAATTTACGCCGTTAATGCACTTAAAATATTCCCTTACCTTTCCTATACCCTTACTGGACGAGTTTATCCTACCGGAGAAGAGCTTACTGAGCCCGAAGCTTCAAATGCTAAAGCGGCTATCTATCATTTCCTTTTCTTAGGAAAAGCAATTAAATGGCCAAAACATATGAATAAACCATTCCTTACATCGCACAACTCTGCTATTGAACCGTCTTACCCATATCTTCGACTTATCCTTCAATTTGATGCATCAAGTTTTCTAAGCGCCCTGAATGAAGCATTTGAGGATCCCTTCTTGAACGATTCGCCTAAGTCTCTGAGTAACAGCGGGATAACAGGCTTATCAGAAGAACGGATATTCTGCATACATTCAGTAGACCGACAAAGCATCGTTCAAATACTTTTAGAAGTCATGAGCCCCACAGATTTCCCTCCACAGGATACAATATATCTCGATATGTTCATTGGGCGAAATCTGCCGAAATACACTCAATTCATACTTTTATCAGGAAGTGCTTTGCGCCGTGTTATTGTCGGTCTTTGTAACTACCCCGGAGAAGATATTGCCGATGACTGTCAACTCAGCGTTGAGTACTTACTCACTGTATACCATCCCCCTGATATCGACGACCTTGTTGAGCTTTTTATAAATGCGAAGTTTTATCGAGTCCTGAAGTCAATATTCCGCTCTGAGAAGCGCTACGCGAGACTGATCAAAGCTTATTTCGAAGACCAGGAATCACAGGAAACGGTTTTTGATTGCATTGGAGACTATCTACGACCTCACAGTGGTCTCAACGAACGCCAGTTTAAAGAGGTCCGAGTTGTCATTGAGCAGAATGCACGGCAACTGATCGATATTGATTGTATTCGAACAGCACTTGTTGTCAATACCTACGTTCCCGAGATCCATGGGGTTCTCCTTGACTCGATTGAAGATCGCACTCATGATCAGTTCCTGTACCTCCGTACGATCCTTGAGCCACAGGACGTGAACGAAGACCATGGCAACAAAAGGCCAGCAGCAATGTCAAATCTCTCATTCGTAGAGATATATATTAGGTTAATGTGCGAATTCGATCCCGATCACTTGTCTGATTTTGTCGGCGGGTTACAATCAGGCGATCTTCGCCTTGAGAAGGTCTTACCGGCGCTGGAGGATAATGGGGTTATGGATGCGGCGGTTTTATTGATGGCTAGAGAAGGTCAAATTCGGAACGCTATGAACCGATTGATAGCTCACTTTGACACGTTGGAGACAGCTTTGAGCGGTATACTCAGCGCGACTGTACATGTACATGGGTCGCAGTCGGGTGCAGGCGCAGCAACAGAGACTCTACAATCACTGCAGAAGTATGCCCAAGTTGGTGTCTGGCTTTGTCGGGGTCAGATGAAGACCGGAAAACGAATGATAAAGGCCTCTAGAGCAAAAAGGAGGTCAGATGAAGAGCCTTTGAGTGCAGAGGAGATTCTATGGCTAGATCTAGTGGATGTTGTGGTACGCATTGCAAAGAATTGCACCTCAATTCTGAACAGACCTTCTGCGGACGGGATGATAAGCCTTGATATTGAAGTCAATGGCTCAGCCGATCATCGCTCAACTGAAATCGATAAAGGAAAAGTTATACAATCTCTTCGCTTGTTTGTCCAAGACACATTTTCAGCGCTCCTGGCGGCCACATCAAGCTCACAAACTGTATCTTTTCTTCACATTCTTAGAGCTTTCCTCTCCCGCGCTTCAATGGCTTCACCTTCGCTCTCAGAACTTCGCAGCGTTCTTGGCGGCATTTTCGAGGCATATTTATATGAGGAGCAGATCTTATCACTCGCGAATCGATTACTTGAAAAAGACCTATTTGTTCATGTTGATGAGGCTGCCACATTACGCCAGAAAGGATGGCGCCCAATATCACAAACATGTGAAGCCTGTGGTAAAAGAGTGTGGGCCATGGTGCGGCGGGTGGTATCTACACCGCTTGGGAGAAGCAGCGAGTAGGAAATCTTAAGCGTGTAGAGAAGTTACGCGAGGAGCGAAGGCTAATGGCCGAGGGACCATTATCTGCTGTTGCGCGGGGGAAGAGTCGGGCAAAAATAAGTGATATTGGTGAAATGAGGGGAGAAAGCTATAATGATACTCGTGGTGACGGAGACGAGTTTAGAGATCGAGGGGAGGAGGAGGCTGGAGAGCTTGTGTTGTTTAACTGTCGGCATATTTTTCACAGGAGGTGTCTGGATAATCTGCAGGAGCAACACTCCCTAGATAATGACTGGGCATTTCGGTGTATTATCTGTGGGCATGCTGGGAAGAGCAGACAATAACGAGGATGATGGGTTTTGAACAAAATATCATGGAGCGTGTGCAATTGGATTTCTTTTCTTGCTTGAATGAGGGGGATTTTTGTCTTTTTGCTAATCTCTGGACTATTGGTATTATAGATGAGAACTCTTCATGTATCTACATGGATTCATCAATTGTAATTTGTATATGTGGTGATAATGATTATTCTAACGATGATGATGATGACAGTGGGTTTAGGTAAGGTAGGCATGCACTTATCTGTATAAATTTACATTGGGAAATATCTACGTTCAAGTGAAGATACGGACTTAAACCATATCCCTTCGCGTGCTTTCACGGCCGGGAGCTAGTAGGCAAGTTTTACCCGTTAGTAAGCCTATCCCCCACTCCGGGAACCTCAGCTTCTGTGACCCCTCCTATACCTATTTTGGTGTCTCCACAGTCTATAGGTAGCTAGGTTTTCTGAATATCACCACGCTGTCGTGGGCCTAATGTATCTCTCTTTTTGCTGCGAGGAACGAAGGGATTGCACAAAGAATACAGTAATATAACGAATTCCTAGGTACATCTTCATTACATACTACATGACGCATTGACGGGAATACCATACCCGGGCGTTCATTTTTGCACTTTAGTTGTATGTAGTAAAATTACATCTATATACATGCTGATGATATGTACAGCGGTGGATAATACATGTAAGTCATCAGATGGAACGCCACCAAAATACGTGTTTGCAGGCAAAATTGTGGCTAGGTCGTCCGATGATTTATTAGCCACCGCTGTACATACAATAGTATTAATTGTTTATACATGTAGGTGATTTGACTTCCACTTGTAAAGTACTCAGGCAGCTTATCGTAAAATAATTAAACATACATACAGCTTACCCTCAAAAGAACCAGAAAATGCAAGTAACGGAAACAGGGATTATTTGTATGAGAGAACGACGCCACTCCATACAAATTATCCTTGCCCTGAGCAACTGCATTTTCTGGTTCTTACGCTGGTAAGCGTGTAAAATTCAACCATACACGGTCATCGTGGTCCGAAACAGTCGATAGTTGTGTGCCGCTCGCCGAAATAACCATTTGAGGTTAGAGTGCACATGCATGTCTTGGCGAAACAAGGATCAACGCACACACACAAAAGTAAGAAAGAGGAAAAAAAAACTTTCCACCCCACACAGGCCTAACAAAAACCCCACTGCGCTTTCTTATCCCCCTCCTTCTTCTCACCACCCCTCCCCTCTTCATCGTTCATCCCTCAACTCTTCTTTCCTCACCAAATTTCTTTCTCTGCATTTACATACCATTACAATGGAAGGAAAATACGACGGAGCGATCGGTATCGATCTTGGTTCGTAGCCTGCAATGCTCTCTGAATTTATAAATTTTTTATTACGCATCTATTGCGTATTGATATTATGAATAACTAACATTGTTTTCCATTGCAATTTAGGTACCACCTACTCTTGTGTGGCCATCTATGAGGGTAGCGGTGTTGAGATCAGTACGTTTGCCTCTTCTCCCATTTGGAATTTTTCCAATTTTCGAATAGCTTGACGAGTTGGAATATATATTTTTTAAGAAAAAATAGATAAAAGTTACTGACAGTTTTTTTTTCCTTTCCCTTTTACTTTTAGTTGCCAACGAGCAGGGAAACCGTGTCACCCCTTCTTTCGTTGCCTTCTCTGAGAAGGAGCGATTGATCGGTGATGCTGCAAAGAACCAGGCTGCTCTTAACCCACGAAACACTGTATTTGACGCTAAGTATGTTGATTCATCTATATTTCTTGATCATCGAGTGATGATGAAATATTGTTGCGTTATAAACTAATATAATTAACCCGAATAACTTGAATCGAAGACGGCTGACATTTGTGGATTTGCAGGCGATTGATCGGTCGTCGTTTCGACGACCCAAGTGTCAAGAAGGATGTTCAGTCATGGCCCTTCACTGTTGTTGACCGTGATGGTAACCCATACATTGAGGTTGAGTACCTCGGTGAGACCAAGCAGTTTTCTCCTCAAGAGATTTCATCCATGGTTTTGACTAAGGTATGTATGCCGATTTTTCAATGGTGGCGTAGTGTCTTATGCATTCTTGTGAAATTCTATAGATGAAGGAGATTGCCGAGGCCAAGCTTGGTATGTCTGTGGAAAAGGCTGTTATCACTGTTCCAGCCTATTTCAACGACAACCAGCGTCAGGCCACTAAGGACGCTGGTGCCATTTCTGGTATGAACGTCCTCCGTATTATCAACGAGCCCACCGCGGCAGCCATTGCCTACGGTCTTGGGTCAGGAAAGACCAATAAGGAAAGACACGTCCTTATCTTCGACTTGGGTGGTGGAACTTTCGATGTTTCTCTCCTCCACATCCAGGGTAAGTCTATATCAGAGAATCTTAAAGTTTCCTTTTACGATCTAACCAACATAAAGGTGGTGTTTTCACCGTCAAGGCCACTGCTGGTGATACCCATTTGGGAGGACAGGATTTCGATACCGCTCTCCTTGACCACTTCAAGGCCGAGTTCAAGCGCAAGACCAAGCACGACATCTCTGATGACCCACGTGCTCTTCGTCGTCTTAGGTCCGCTTGCGAGCGTGCTAAGCGTACCCTCTCCTCTGTCACCCAAACCACTGTCGAGATTGATTCTCTCTTCGCTGGAGAGGATTTTAACACCTCCATTACCCGTGCTCGTTTTGAAGACATCAACGCTACTCTTTTCAAGAGCACCATTGCCCCTGTTGAGCAGGTCCTGAAGGACTCCGGTCTCTCCAAGGACAAGGTCGATGAAGTCGTTTTGGTTGGAGGATCCACCCGTATCCCTAAGGTTCAGAAGATGTTGAGCGACCTTTTCGATGGAAAGAAGCTCGAGAAGGGTATCAACCCTGATGAGGCTGTTGCCTACGGTGCCGCTGTCCAGGCCGGTATCCTTTCTGGAAAGGCCACTTCCGAAGAGACTGCCGACCTTTTGTTGTTGGACGTCGTTCCCCTTTCTCTTGGTGTTGCCATGGAGGGTAACATCTTCGCTCCTGTCGTTCCTCGTGGTCAAACTGTCCCCACAATCAAGAAGAGGACTTTCACCACTGTTGCCGATAACCAGACCACCGTTCAGTTCCCCGTGTTCCAGGGTGAACGTGTCAACTGCGAGGACAATACTTCTCTTGGAGAGTTTACCCTTGCCCCTATTCCCCCCATGAAGGCTGGCGAGGCTGTCCTCGAGGTTATTTTCGAAGTCGATGTCAACGGTATTCTCAAGGTCACTGCTATTGAGAAGTCCACTGGCAGATCTGCCAACATTACTATCTCTAACTCTGTCGGAAAGCTGTCTACCACCGATATTGAGAAGATGGTTGCCGATGCTGAAAAGTTCAAGTCAACTGATGACGCTTACTCTAAGAAGTTCGAGGCCAGACAACAGCTCGAGAGTTACATTGCACGTGTTGAGGAGATTGTCTCCGACCCAACATTGAGCTTAAGATTGAAGAGGGGCACCAAGGAGAAAATCGAGGCTGCTCTTAGCGATGCTATGGGACAGTTGGAGATTGATGACTCTGGTGCAGATGACTTGAAGAAGAAAGAGCTTGCTCTCAAGCGTGTTGTCACCAAGGGTATGTTTTAACCGCTTTCTTAGTCAGATCTAATGAACTAACTTTCTTATTGCAGCCATGTCAACCCGTTAAACAAATAAACTCGAAAAGCAATAAAAATTTCTTCTGTTCAATGTTCTGGTATTTCTATTTTCTTTGACGCTGTAATCCAATGGTTATGATACTGTCACCAAAAAGTACCTTTTTTTTTTTTTCTTCATGGGGGTTTTATCACTTTTGGTTTGCGTGCCATGAAGTAGGTGGCGAAAGGGAAAGGGATACGTAGCTTTATGTTTTTTTTCATCTTCTCGTTCTGGTGGTGCACATAGATCAAAAATTATGTTCTAAAAATGGTGCTATCTTCGTGATACTTTTAGATAGTACCGCCGGAAACTAGAGTCACTGCCATACGTGATTGTTATCAAATTGTTTCGTCACTTGTGATTTGCCCTAACCCTACATACAAATGCACAGCTGGCCATCGCTGAGCCGCTCCCTTGGCTGCCAGTGGTGTTATTGCCTGTGTGGGAAGCTCCTTTCCCTCCAACATCTTCAAATCTCGGGAACCCTTACGTCTACACCGCAAAAATGCCTATCCCTGTGCTTGGGGAGGTTTATTTTAACGGCATCCAGTCCATTCCGTTTCTGTTACCAGTTCTTAAAGTTTTACCATGGATTGCTTTGCTAGTTTTATTGAAGACTTGGTTCGGTGGTGCGAGAAATGCAAATGAACGAGTTATGCATGGTAGAGTGGCTATAGTAACAGTAAAATCCCCCTTCCATCCCCTCACGATTTAGAGTGTGTAAAGATCCTAATTTCCATCAGGGTGGTACAACGGGAATAGGGGCAGCAGTTGTTGCCGATCTCGCATCTCGTGGCTGTCAACTCATTCTTCTTGTGCGCGACCCTAAAGACGTATTCACTCAAGATTATATTGAGGACCTCCGCGAGCGCTACAACAACCAGTTGATATATGCGGAAGAATGTGATCTTAGCTCCCTTCACAGTGTTAGAAAATTTGCGACCAAATTTATCGATAATTCGCCTCCGCGACGCGTGGATATGGTCATATGCTGCGCTGGTATCATGGCGCCTCCGATGACAGCAAAGGTGTTGACAAAAGACGGCGTTGAAGCTCATTGGGGGATTAATTACCTCGCTCACTTCCAATTACTTAACATATTGACGCCTACCCTTCGTGTACAACCCCCTGATAGAAACGTCCGTGTGCTCATGGCCACATGCTCTTCTCATGTCCTCGGCGAACTTGACCTCAACGATGTGCAGTTTCTCCAGCGCGGATATCCAACTATACGGCCATGGCGCTCGTACGGCGCATCGAAAATGGCCGTTATGGCGTTCGCCTGCGAATTCCAGCGTCGTATGAATGCTCATGAAAGACCTGATAAACATCCTAATAATGTCCGCATTTTTAACATTGATCCCGGCCTTACTAGAACTCCTGGAATGAGGCGTTGGTTGAGTCTTGGAAGTATCTGGGGGTTGCTGCTATATGTAGTCACATATCCATTCTGGTGGTTGGTCCTCAAGAGCCCTGAACAAGGTGCACAAACATTTCTGGCCGCAGCTATGAGCCCTGAATGCGGTGTAGGCGAGGGCGGGAAGTTTTTGCGCGAATGTCGCGGTGCTATGTATGAACCCCTCTGTTCTATAAACGGAAAGACAGAGCTAACTAGATATTAGATATCGTAAAACGATTCTCACCACGGAAGAACTTGGGACAACACTTTGGGCCTTTACTGAACAACAAATTAAGGATCTTGAGAAGGAAGCAGCTATTAAACGCGCCAAGGAAGAACGGGCTGCTAAAAAGGGGACCAAAACCACCGACAAAGCCACTACAGGCGCCTCAAAATCCAAAATCCCTGCTATTCCTAAAATGTTTGATCCTACAAAGCCTATTGCCCCGGAGGAAGAGTTCAAATTCCCAGAATTAGAATCCATGAACGACGAAGAGCTCAAAGATATCGTGAAGAAGGCTGCCGAAGCTCGTGCTAAGAAAGAGGCACTGGATAAACTCATCGCTGAGGAGGAGGAAAGAGATCGTTATAATCGTGCAATTGCCAAACTCCCCGAAGGTGTTCTAGATACACCGAGTAGGAATACCAGGAGTCGCACGGCAGAATTCTCTGGGCCAAGGATCGTTGAGGTCGCAGAGTCAGCCCCCCCGGAGGCTATCCCTACTTCTTCAAGGCCTAGTACTCCAAGTAAGAATAGAAGGCGGACGAAAAGAGCATAAGGAGCAAAAGATGTTTGAGTCAATGGTTTCTTTTTTGTGGTTCTTTTTTTGGCTATAGATTTGCATAGATTGGCGTACACGCGGCAAAATGACACAGGTTTAGTCATATCATTATTATTATGTTAATGAGTAGTGAGGAGAAGAGATACCTACACGAGAAATGAACTGTAATCCTGGATTTCTAACTGGCCCCGATCATACTTCTGTCGCTTTGTGAAACTTATTAATATTTGCTTCGTAGACTATAATATGGTACAGCTTCCTCAGCTGGGCTTAATCGAATGAGAAGTCGGTACTTCAGTGCACCCCAGGAAAGGCTTCTTCCGCAGAGATAATTTTGGCCATATCTATCGTTCGTTAATGAAGACGTAGTTACATGTAGATATTAGCCAGATCGACAGCTTTGATATCATCCCTCATCCAAAAACCCGGTCACTCACGATCACTCCTCTACCAGCGCAAATAATGCATCCATCGATGCATTACCCATACAAACGGCACGCGTTAATGCATCACTTGATGCATTTATCCGTCGCGGGCTCTGTAAACTCGTCCAATTGATGCATTGTCCAACGCCTTTACCGATGACTTACACCACTTTCCGTAGCAGTAACTTGTAACTTCCCTTTACGTCGCACTGTTTTGCTGTAGCGACTTTGCCGACGACTTTCTTGATGCATATGCCTTAACCACGCACAGCCGAAACGAGTACGCCAACGAATATGTAGCCGCGCCAGTGTAGCTTTTAATATTACCCGCGTTGCACGCCCTACGACTTTGCCAACGAGTTAGCCAACAACTTTGCACGGCGACTGTTGCCGCTCTGCCCCCTCTACGACTTTGTGCCGCGACCAAGTTTCTATGGGAACGACTTTACCGCCACTCACCTACTAGCGCTGTACGACATTCCCAACGACATTACTGATGCATTAACCGCGGAGCACGAACAGCTGGAACGATATTGCCTACAAGTTTGCCCACCTTCTATCAGCGCTCTCCGTTACTCAGGAAATAACTTTGCCGACGAGTTTACCTACGACTTTACTGATACTCTAGCCGTTCCCTGCTTTCTGTGTCAACGATTATGCCAACAACTAAACCCACCGACTCGTATCATATATGTGCGTGAACGAATATACCGACGATTATACCGACGAGATTTCCCTCCGCCCTTTTGCAGCACGATACATTTGCCAACGACTTTGTTGATACATTTCCCGGTAGACTTCACCTATCATTCAAACTGTTGACGTTATTCCATGCACTTCTACATCTGCATTGTGCGTCGGTGCAACGAATATGTCTACGAATTTACCTACGAGTTGGTATACGATATTGCCATTACCACAAACCATCAACATCTTTACTGACTATTATACCGACAACATTACCGATACTTTATCCCCCAAACAATTCGGCCATCTACGAGTATCCTGATGCAATTGCCGATGATATCAACAACACATTAACCTTTCCCTCAATAACAGCAACGACTTTACTGATGCTTTAACCAACGGTATATCCGATGACTTTCTCAAAACGTTTTACATTAATGAATACAGTCGATCATACATTTACATACACCATCACCAACAACATTAACTGAACGTTGATTTGCTTTTCAACAGGTTGAACGACTTTACCAACCACAATTCAGACGATATTGCTGATACATTTCCTTTGCGGCTCAATCATATGAACGATTTTACAGACAACTTTACTGATACATTGTTTTTTTCATTCGATAGAGTGAATGACTTTACCGACGACAATACCGATGATATGGCCGATACATTTCCTTTACGGCTCAATCATGTGAACGATTTTACAGATAACATTACTGATGCATTGCCCAACGGACTTCTTCTAGCTTTCTCGAAAAAACACTCAGTAATCAATCAACAAGTTTCTGAACGATTATGCCGACGACTTTATCAACGAGTTTCTAATGAAGAAGAAAAAACCCATAGCAATAAGACGGTCACTTTACCGACAACTTTACCAACAATTTTACTGACTACGTTTATTATTCGCCTCTCTAACATTTGTTCTCTTGGAACCTCGATGATTAAGTCTACGATTTTACCAACACATTTGCCAACAATATTGCATGCTACTGTCTTTGCCATTGCTACTAGTTTTAGAATCAAATCTAACTTTTTTCGTAGGAACGATATTCATGATCCCTTTACCGACAAATTCGATGACACATTTTCCAACAAATCCCGCACCACCTGCTTTAGTAAAACCCTCCATAGCATACTTGTTAGCAACCCTACAATTATAATATCTTCCAACCGTTGTTTACCCGATCCGGAATAGTCTCCAATATTAGCCACATATAAACCTCCATACCTGCATATACAACACTTGCGTATTACCCATAACAACAACAACAACCAACACCTTCACATCTTGAACGGCGTCTCTGGAACCACGCTCTCTTCATTATTGGCATGCCTATTCATCGCCGCAAGCTTCACCTTCTTCTGCGCATTACTTAGTCTTCCAGGAGCACCCCTCTTCGCTGGAGTCAGCTGCCCATCACCCTCAGTGGCCGCAGCTTGGTTAATCAGCATCTTTGCCCTCTGAAAGCTAGTGCTTGCCCCTGGCACAGCCCTCGGCCGGGGCATCAGTTCCGGATGTCCAAGAAGCTTGCGGTAGCTCATTGGTTCAACATTATCAGACCCCATTAAGGGGGCGTAGCCCATAACCGGAACAAGTGAAGGGAGTTTGAGATCGGAGTTCAAATCAAGCACCTTACCCACAGGAACCTCTACGATCTCCTCGCCCGCCATCGGCTGTGTAGAGCTCATGGCTCCATGAAGATGGGGATACCTGCTCCTCGACGCAAGTCTACGGGTCGGCTGTGCACTTGTAGACGCTGGAACCTGGTAACTCAGAGTGTCCCATTCCATGTGCGGAACCTGGGAGTGCTGGGGCACCATGGGCGAGAGCCTTCCAACATTCTTTCTCGCCTTCAAAGAGCCCATGTAGCTATTCATGGGGGAGGCCCCATCCTACGAGGCGGGGTGGAAATGGGGTCAGCAAAAACATCGTCAAGACCCGACAGCCGTGAAATGTCAAATCCATCCTCTTTTATATAGTCCTGGGTTTGAGTAAACATCCTGGGCAGCAGACGTGGCGCTGCAGTACTTGTGAATGACTCTGAGTTGTTAGGCTGTGTGGGCATGAATGAAGACTGTGTCGAGTTCTGTGTGAACACAGATGACCGGGGCTGTGCACATAGGGGCATAGGCTCTGGTGCGTTCTGCTGGGTGGCTACACGAAGCAGTGGCTGTCCACAAGATGGCGGCGGCACCTGTGAAGAGCTCATGTCCTCCATGGACGAACAGGCAAATAGGTATCATCACATTCACCGGTAGTAGTAGAGCTTCTAACCTCATCTGACTGGTTCTGGTTCATGACACCACTCATACTATCACCGATACGTGTCAGTACTGTCTGATAATATACGTGTTATCTTGAGTTGGGAGGGGATAAATACATCTCTTTCTGTATCGCATCTTGACTCCGAGTTCTCATTGTACTTTTCTTTGCCTTCTCCTTGGCCGGTGTCTTCTCTTTAACAGTCCCGGCTACCTTGCGAACATATGTCCTCTTGGGCTTCTCGGTCTCGCTCTTCTTCTTATTCAGCGAACCCTTGGGTCTTCCAGGTCCCCGTTTCTTTGGAGGCTCGGGCTCAACCCCAACCTCTTTGTCACTAAGCACTGCCTCTGTAGTCGTGACATCAGAAGCATTGGTGCGTTGAGACCCCGTACGAGCTGCTCGTGTACGAATGGCATTATTGTTCCCGACCTCTTTCTCTTTAGTCACAGAAGAATCAAAGCTAACCCTTCTAGTAGTAGGTATCAGTGGAACTGTTGAGGCCAGTACTGATGGCTGTGGTGGTGGTGGTGGTGGTGGTGGTGGTGGTGGTGGCTTTGAATAGAAACTGGCATCATCATCATCATCATGGAAGTCAGCATCAGAATGCTCCCACATGGTTGGGGCCTCGTTATTCTCCTTGACCCTGGTCAGGAACTGATGGTATCGCTTTTCGTCATCCAACAGTATCTGCTGTTTTCCCTTACCTGGGAAGCGGTACCATACATCCTTCCCCTTCCATCTCTTGCGGAACTCTTCATAGTCGAGTGTGAATTGGTAATGGACGTGCTTTTTGTCCACCAGTACGGAGTAAATCTCAAGCGTCTTGACACCATAGGGGGCAGCAGCGGAAGGAGGTTTTGGAGGTGGCAACATCACTTGCTTTCTTGGTAAGTTCAGACGATGTACAAGGTTATGTGCCGACGGGGACAGCGGTGCGGCATCATCATCCACACGGGGAGCACCGATAGTCATAACATTGGCAGGAACTCGCTCAAGTTGAGGTGCAGCAGCAGGTTGAGCCACGGAAACTGCAGCCCCAACAGGGATGGGTGGCCTAGCTGACACCGGCACCCCCACCGAAGATGTTGCGGCCTTAGTCACTGTGCCCACGCTAATTGAACCTTCAGCGGAGACATAAGAAGAAGAAGAGGTATCATCATCCTCTGCTGTAACACAGTCCTGGACCATTGGTTTCTTGCGTGGAGGCTTGCGGTGTACCGGTGGAGCTTCGTCAACTGTCTCCTTGTTGGCAGAACGTTTACCGGTGCTTGATGTCTTCTGTATGCTTGCTGCTGTTGCTGTAGCCCGCTGAGGGGCAATAGGTGCAGGAACCGCTGCCCTCGGTGCTTGTCTTGCTGGGGCAGCGGCAGGGCCAGATGCTTCCCTTGGTTCTGCTGTATCTATAGGGACAGCAGGCACATTTCTCGCAGTGGCTCTCTGTGCTGCTGTTCTCCGCCTGCCAACATAGTGGCCGGTGGTGGGAGGTCTTCCCTTCCTCACCGCACCACCGGCGAGGGTAATGTCTTTATTTTTTCTTCTGTTTTTATTACGTCTCTTGTTGTTGGTCAGAGAGATTATGATTGCGAGACAGACGGAGTCACTATAGTTATACTTGGCAAGAGCGTTTCTGACTTTGTCGATGAGGTATTGGCGTGTTGCCTTACTTCGGACCGACTTCCACGCCGACCCAATAATAAACTGTACAGGCTTTGCAGCCAGTGCATCACAGCCATCTTTCTCCTTTTATTATATTCTTCCCGGTCTTCTTTATTATGATCGAAAACCCATTTGTTCGATCAATGGGGCTTTGTTAGCAGTATCGAGGAGGTCCTCGATGGCCTTCTCGTCGTGGAGTGGAAAGTCCCCGATGGCTGACCCCTCGCTATCAGACCCGCTTGTGTCTTCAACAAGCCTCTCGCCAAATGACTGGCTCTTCTGCTGCTGCTGCTGCTTACTCTTTTCGTGCTGCCGCTCTCTCTCCTGCCTCTGCTGTTCCTCACGTCTCTTAATCTCCTTTTGCTCCTTCCATTGCTTGAATTCTTCCATGTCTAGCATTGTGTTTGGAGCAATAGGCTCTGTGATGTCTGCCATATTCCGCTGCATCTGTACCATCATGTCCATCAGTATATAACCATCTACCATTTACATGTAGCTGTCTTGATACAGATGCTCACCTTTGATAAACAGTGTGGTGTAATAGAAAAAAGGGACAGATAGATGTTTCTACGGTGGAATGGAGAGAAGATGGAGAAGGATATGTCCATACTATCTACCCCCACCCACCCTGGCTCATGCAATATGGCTCACCCGTAGATGTCGATCTGGCCTTCCACTCCGCCTATCGTGCATCCAAGATCTCACGTCCCGCCAATCTACCCCACCATCAACGTGTCATGTATTCTACATATTCACTTTATACTTATAAAAAAAAAATTATACACACCAATCACGATTATGGCGGATGCAGCAAACCCAGCACCATGGGCACCGAGAGAGAGACGACTCTGCCACTGTGGGATGTACAGAGGAGTACCCCACTTGTGACAAAAACCATCTGGTACAGACACAGGCAGCGGCAGGCATGGCTTGAGCGGCAAGCCACCCAGGAGGATATTCCGCCAGTAGATTTGGACTGGGAAGTAGTAAGTACATGTGGTCAAGGTGCATTTTCTACCTACATAATCCTGACCCTATACAGATTGATGCCTCCTATCCCGAGAGTGAGCCCATGCCATCAGGAACCCCCGTCTTTAATGATCAGGTATATGCGATACAACACATGTATAGTATGGTAGCTCAACCCACAACTCGATTAACTCTGTTCTGGTATAGGAAAACAGCCCAGAGCCAGCGGAGGCTACACCGGTCTTTGAGGATGCCTTATTTATAGAAGCTTCACCTGTGTTTCACGATCCCGGACGTATGGATTCACAGGATCCTTTTTACAAACTACAACCTACAGCCCCGCCTCGGGCATGTGCAGCAGCAGGTACAGGTCCATGCCTCTCAAGAGCATCAACCTGAGCAGTCACCAAGCCAGGAAACTGTGAGAGGAGAGTCTGTTGTACCAGAGTCGGTGGTCTCAGAGAGAGAAGATACAATCAGTACATTGAACCACAGCTTCCACCACTCCACGGTTGGGCAAGAGGAGGGGCATGTGCCTTTAGATGAGGAGGCACCGCTGTTCCGTCAACGGACAGAATCGACTCAGTATGACCTAAACATGGCATACATCACCCCGGTTCCTACCAATACGGCAGGCCAGAAGGAGAATGATAATCCTAGCTCCTCTAGCAGCAGCGAGTCCAGTGCTCATGATATTCCTGATAACTCACCTCCTCCATCCATTCATGGCGATGTTGATGCTGATATAGATGCTGATAGAGATGACGACGTTGATGCACCCAGTGAGACTGATAATGAGATTGACGAGCGTATCCAGAGCCCAAGCTATTCCAATCCATACTATGAGGATGTCGAGGATGTCGAGGATGTGCCCAGCTCTGAGGACCCAGAGAGCAGTGGAGCAGAAGACGGTGTTGAGGATAACGATGACGATGACGATGACGATGACGAGGGCCCAGAAGTGCTGACAGAGTTCCCATACAGCATGATTCCGAACGTTGTTCTGGAACCTGCAATGATGAGACACCTCCGGCTGATGAAGGTCAGGATGGAAGGGAACGTGGCTCAGGACATACACATGAGGTACATCCAAGCTGTCCAGGCCTTTGACAACTCCGAGGTCTCAGTGACAGACGAGGCAACAGCGAAGAGAGAGCTCGGTGTGATTACAGAGATATACCACGTTCGGTATGACGTGTGTCGAAACAATTGCATCTGCTACGTTGCCTTTCCAAGGGCTGACAGATGCCACATATGCAATGCAGAAAGAAGGGATAGCAATGGAAAACCGTACCGTACGTTTGACTATATACCCCTAATCCACAGACTGCTGCTACTCTATACAGACACTGCGTACGTAAAGATTACGATGGAGTACAAGGAGTCTTTTGCAAACCAGGAGACGCCACAGAGCTCAGTGCGGGACTACTGGGATAGTCTTTTGTTCAAAATGGTCAAGAATAATAGAGGCTTGTGGACCGATAGCAGAGACGTCGGGTTCATATTCAGCACAGACGGCTTCTCCCTATTTAAGGCACACGCCTCTACTGCTGCCTCTTTTCAATTGAATCCATAGCTGACTCATGTGTTACAAATAATCAATAGATTGGGCAGTACGATGTCTGGCCCCTGCTGCTAATCAACTGCAACCTGCCGCCGTCTGAGAGGGTCCTGAAAAAAAACCTAATTCTGTGCGGCATAATACCAGGGCCTGGCAATCCCAAGGACCTGGGGTCCTTCTTGAAGCCAATGATTGATGAATTCCTCACACTGCAGGTGGGGGTAAAGGCTTGGGACGGGCTGCGAAAGGAGAGATTTATACTGCGCGCTAACATAGCCCTAGTGGCAGGAGATACGGTTGCAATGGCCAAATTGATGAAATGGACTGGTCCTAATAGCTTTCGGTACTGTCGCTTCTGTGCCATCTATGGTATCAGCGAGGGACACATATATTGTCCTCTGGAACCCCCACGTGACCGTAAGGACGCTCTGGGGGGGGAGGCTAGGCGCAAGGGGAGTAGGGTTCCAAAGAGGAATGCAAATTTCCCCGAAAAGTCGTGGGATGCAGAGAATCTCCCGATTTGGACCGACGCACAAGTGCGCGAAAACCAGAAAACGGTGGAGGAGACAATGGACCTGCAATGGGGCAAAATGATGGGGACCAATGGAGAGCCTGTCTTTAGCTCCCTCGTGTCGGTGGTGTACCCTTGGACGTTCACGCCGGACGTTATGCATCTGGTTGATGAAAACACGCCTAGGTTATACCTGGCGCAATGGATGGGGGTGTTCCGGGACAGGGAACTAGCGCTCCGCGCAAAGATGGCCCAGGCCGAGGTTGATGCTTCGCAGGTTGGATCATCGCATGCCCAATCCGAGGGCATGAGCCAGTCACAAGTGGAGGTGCAGCAAGAGTCTCAATTTGATAGCCAGACAAACACACAGCAGGGTGGCTCTCAGAGCCAGACCCAGGGTGAGCGGAGGAAACGTCGCAAGGGCAGGCGGGGGGTTAGCTTTAATGCTGATATAGAAGAGGACTACGTGGAGGATGCGTTTATCTTACCCAAAAGAATGTGGGACAGGATTGGGGAGGAAATTGCGGGCTCAAGGGCGTCGATACCAAGTGCGTTTGGCAAGGCATTCCGGGATATCAAGTACCACGCAAGCTACAAGGCTACAGAGCTGATGAACTTCATGCATCTGATATCCCCCATTGTGCTCAACCAACGGCTGCCTGCCGAGTACTATAGCCACTGGCACCACTTTGTACTAGCCAGCGAGAAGGCCCGGCGGTACCAGCTGAGCATGGAGGACGTCGCTGAGATGGAGCGAGACATGGTTCAGGTTGTGACGGGGTATGAGCGTCTATACTATCAGTACAAGCTCTCCAAGATCCGTGGCTGCACCACGCAGGTGCATGGGCTGCTGCACCTGGGCATGGCCATGAAGGTCTGCGGCCCGAATCCGATATACCACCAGTACCCAATGGAGAGGACATGTGGAACGATCAAGGCAATGTGCCACAGCCGTTCGTCTGCTAATCGTAATCTTTCATTGCAGCTGCTTGAGCGGGAGAGGCTCAGGTACCTGCCTTTGATTGCTTTGGTAAGTATGCGAGAGTGTGAGAGCAGAGTGGCTGTGCTGTTGCTGTTACTGATGTGAACAGGTGCCGCCTGGCTTTAGTGAGACCGCCGAGAGACGTCTGTTTGGACTGGGAGAGAAGGACAAGGTTGCCTATCCAGCAGAGTACCCGGACTGCCTCTTGATGGGCCCCAAGATCTCCCGCCGGTTGAATCAGTACGAGCGGAACCACCTGAGGCAGTTCCACGCTGACGTGATAGGTGTGCCAGTGAGGTCGAGAGAGATTGTTGGGAATCCAATGCTGTTCAGCGGCATATTCAAGCTCTGGGGTAGGGCAGTTGCGGGAAGAGTTTTGAGCAATAGCAGCGAGCATGAGGTGGTAGGATCGGCCATCTCCAACCCAAAGCCTGGTGTCTGTTCGTCCCGCAGGGATGACTCCTGTGTCAGGTACATATTGACCGGCGATGGGGACAACGATGTCTCATACTTTGGCAAAGTAATGTTCTTCATGCCGTACGAGATACACAATGACGAGAGGCTTGAGGACGAGCCAGAGCGTTTCATGATGGCCTACATCCAGCGGTTGGAGGTGGGGAGGGTGAGGAAGCTCAAGTTGGCATACATAATCAACAGACAACAACGGGTCCTCAAGGAGTTTGTTGATCTGTCCGATGTACAGGAACTGATAGGTTGCATCAAGTCGCGCGGGAAGGAGTTTTTGGTGTCAAGGACGTCGTGCTTCTGGCCAAAGAAGGGTTTTGCTTGGTGGGAAGTTATTGACAACGAGGCGCTTTTTATTGGCGCTAACGTGCAGTAATGCACACTATTAACTAACTAGATACTAGCCGACATTTCAAAGTCGTGGGCAAAGTCGTGGGCAAAGTCGTGGGTAATGTTGTTGGTAAAGTTGTAGGTAAAGTTGTTCTGTGGTTTGGGTTGTGCGGGGGGTGATGGCGAAGGGTTAACCTATCGTAGCTAATGTTGTAGGTAAAGTTGTAGCCAAAGTGGTCGGGAAAGCCGTTCCCGCACTAAAATAAATGTGGGAGGGGTCTCGGGCAATATTATTGGCAAAGGTGTCTGTAAAATTGTGTGTTTAATCGTAGGTTTAATCGTTCATGTTCAAACAAAACGGATTGCAAAGAAAGTTGTAAAGTTGTCAACAAAGATATTTGTAAAATCATTGGCATAGTCGTCGTGTATAAAATTTGATCGCTGAGGAAAGTTGTTGACAAAATCATTAGTAAAATCGTTGTATGTAGTTTAGTTGTTTGCCTGTATACTTGTCGGGAAAGCCGTCGGTATAAATCGTTTGTAAAATCGTTGACCTGATGGTAAACAATCCTCTTGTTTCC